CATAATTTCACTGGAGTCATCAGGGATATAGTTGTATATTCCTGAAATTACCTGTAAACACCTAAAACAGCATTCCCTAAAATTTTAATTGTTTTCTTTCATATCGCTCAAACACACATTGCTTAAAAATTGCAGATTTTGCTTAAATCACATTAAAATTGCTTTCGTTACTTACCCTTTCTCTTCGGTGCCACCCCCACCATAAATAATGACGGTCCCTAAGTAAAAAATCAAAAATTGCTAAAATATTTACTTTAAACCCAAATTTTACAAACGAACGAGAAAATTGTATAGAAATACTTCCTCTTTGAAATGGTTAATAAATGTTTGTGATAAATATTTATTTCAAGTTTTAAGCTATCTGTAAATGACCTGTCGTATGTGTCCTGAAAACCAGTCTGAGAACGTGAAAATAAAAAATAGCCGTTTGCTAAAATAAAATTCTGATCGAACTTAAAGTTATATTTATAGTAATAGTTTACCTAGACCTATATTCTGACAAAGTTAGAAGATTTTGAATTTTTTCATTTTGCATACTTCCAGTTGATATTTACAGACGGCGGCTCTTAAGACTTAAGTTGAACGAGGCTAAGTTTGATTACCGATATAACTGCGAAATTCGATAAAGTTCAGAGCAGTGTAATTTAACAAACACATGTAATTTTAATAAAGAGCAAGAGTTTGTGTTGCAAAATCAAAGTCAATGGGTGAAGTGGCTTCGAAACAAGCAGTCAATTGTGTTTCATATTGGGCAAAACCACAAAGAAATACAAGGAAAGGGTATATATGAATATTTGTAATATATTCAAGGAAAAGCCATGAAGATTTTCCTAGCAGCCATCAGCGAGTCCGTTGTAAATTGCCGTATAGAATGTAATCAAGTGGCTCGATAACGCGACACATCATCGTATGGAAATAACAGTAAGAAAATATAATTATAGTGTGCACATCAATGAACATCGAAAGTATGTCTATGGTGTTGTACTACATATTCGATTTGAAACATAAAGAACGACATACATACATACATACATACATACATACATACATACATACATACATACATACATACATACATACATACATACATACATACATACATACAAAAAATTATTTATCCACGCCGGCCTCAACAACTCAGACCTGAATTCCATGATGGGCGTGATTTTAGAAATAATATACAGATACTAACATCACTATAGATTATACAAAAATACAAAAACAAAGAGAGAAGAACAGGACGAGCCAATTTTAAGTGTTTTCCAGGTTAATAGTTCTTCGAAAGATTCCGCTACTTTTACCTCATACGGTAGAATATTCCATACTACCGCTCCCTTATAGTTGAAGCATCTTTTACCAAAATCGGTATTCGGTTTAGAAAGAGACAAATCGATTTCTCTATTTCTAAGATCTATAGATATTATCACATTCATTATTCAATGAAAAGAATGTTCTTTAACAGGGATTGCGGAACAGGGAGGCGAGGAGTCCATGACCACCCCCCTCCCCCTCACTTTTTCGGTGGATAATAAAAAATTACCGGATAAAATCCAGCCTGCCTGCATAGAATGGCCCCCGTGGTGGTGGCATAAGCAAATTAGGTTTAGGAGTAGCAGTGACTGGTGGTGTTATTTCAGCAGAGACAGGAGTAGCAGACACTTGTGGTGGTATCTCAGAAAATTCATTGGGCACTTGTGGTATTGTTTGAACAGGGGATTAGTGATAGCACGGTTAATAGAATTGGATGGTTAGGCTAGCCGGCAAACTTCAAAGGGAGCGGCAAATTATGTCGAGAACCACTTTTATTTGTGTCACGTGACGAGGAAAGGGGGTGCTTTGTGATGAGTGGTTAGGAAAACATATGGGCGAGAACATAATATGCCAACAAAAGATCACATTTCAAAACGCTATAGGGCTTCTGAGATCAAGGTGGAAATTGAAACAGAAAGCGTACAAACATACGAACCTATTTTGAACGTTGGAGATGAAAATATCGAAGAAAGCGAGCGTCGCGAACAGTTTATGATCGAGGCATAAGAGGACGAAGGGCGAAGACATTTATTGCAACTAGACGGTGCAACCGCAGAGGATTTATACAACTTTGATGTGTCTGTTGCTCTAACGGAAATACAGTTAGACGAAACAGACGCTGAATTCACCGAAGCTATACAAGAAATTGATGGCGAGAGGGTTTTTCCTTTTAGTCAGTGAGAGATAGTGTGCAAGTCTATAAAGTAAAGGGAGAGACAAAACTCGTGCTGCGTTGACTATTAGAAGACGTGGTTTGATTATATTACACCGATTCAGGTCAGTTTGGCTACTGTTTCCTCTACTGATGCTTTGTTCGATGCTTTGCATGGCCACTTTACACAACATTCTGTCCAAGGAACAATCAAGATAAACTTTTAGAATGTTTTTATATGGCTTGATTCCTCGTTTGTGTGAGCAGCTATAAAATTGTGAGAACTATAAAGCAGCAAATATATTCCTGAGCATATTTGATCGGATTTTTATAAAACACTACACCAGCAAAATGTCGGCATTGTTGGAAAATGCTGTGATTTTTCGTGAAGTTCAACCCTCGAACTCTGCACAGAAACTGTACGGAAAATATAGTTAAACTTTATTTAACAGATGGAGCATTTTCCTACACCAGAAACTTTACTATTAAAGATGCGGCATGTACAGTCCAATCTGTGCATGTGCACAAAGGAGTCCTCTTTTTATTTACAAACAGTTTAGTTAGGTTTTTATTTCATTTTATGTTCTTGCAAAGCTTGATTGTTGTCTCTTGATAATTTCTAGAATCATGAAAATACTAGAAATACATGCATGCAATAACCCTTCGCCTGTTTTCAAAAGATGTATACTCAGTGCCGTTGCTAGCACTTCGTCTCAGGGTGTGTGTGAGGTTAGATAGAGGGGGGGGGGGGGGGGTGGTTACCAAAATGTTTCCAGATGTACAAAAAATTTTCAGGACATATAATAATTTTTCCGAAAATACAGTTGTTTTCCAAATTCACTTTCTCATGTCCAGAGAATTACCTGAATTCCCCTGAAAATCTTCTGCAAATCTACTTAAATTTACCTAAAAGTGCACTGGAAATCTACCTGAAATTCCTCATGAGCAATTATCAGGGGTGTTGCACCCCCCACAGTGAGTTTCACGCATTCACGCAAACACTCTCTGATTTATTGTTCGTGTATTTCATCTCCCAAAATTTTGTGCATCATACTATAGAGCATTTTGCTGTTGTCATGGTCTAGCGTGGTTCAAATTTATGAATTTTTATTATATAAAGTATAGTGTTTTATGTACTATTTAAAACACGAGTAGGAGTGCAGCCGAGCGTTATATATCTGATAAAACACGACAACGAGTGTTTTAAATAGCTTAAAATACGACTACAAAAGACTACTAATTAGGATGAACCATAGTATAATCATGCTAATTAAGATGAACAATTATATAATGCCACATGTGTTTTATCAGATATAAAGTCACTCCACGTGACATATTATGGCTGACATGTTTGCCACAAGGTTTATGAATTATTAATGAGTATTTTAAAGAGATTTCGAGCACTGATAAAAATGATAATCTCACATGTGAAATTATTCATGATAATCTCACATGTGAAAATTATCGCCTTTTCAATTATCGCTTTTCTGTAAAAATTATCGCTTTTCAAAGACTGTCCATTATATAATAAACAGAAAAATACATGGGTGGTTGGAAATACCAGATTTATTTTTCGTGTTGAACATGACATCTCACTCGTTCGATGCGCTCACTTGTTCGCTCCGCACTCATGTTCAACACTCGAAATAAATCTGGTATTTCGTGCACCCATGTATTATTCTCTATTTAAACTACAACTTGACTGGTTTAAATTATTATCAAGTTATCGGTGATAGTAAAAGTTGCAGATAGAAGTGTTTTGTTTTATATTATTATCAAGTTATCAGTGATCGCAAAACCTCCAAATCCTTAATTTCAAATGTTAGAATGTTAGGGTTTGTAATCCAAGTGAGAATTATATACATTTTAAGACCTAACCAGGAACGACTGCGAAAAATGCAGCACAAGGTCCTCTGGTAGGGATTGAACCTACTGCCCTGCGATTCCGGTGCAGCGCTCTAACCAACTGAGCTACAGAGTCCAGCTGTTGAGCTTTAACCGTAAGTTCATGTATATTTAGGTAATCGGGTGTGCGGGTTGTGATAA